GTATACAAGTTTACTAATATTAAATATGTAATTTTAGTTTAAAGAAATTAAAAACTACCTAATTATTTTAAAAAATAATGCGATACAGCCGTCAGGCCAATGAAAAATCCCAATAGGGCAGGCCACCGGGAATCTCCCGGTATCCCGGTGGGCCAAGCCGTCCCTGATTGTGTTTATTAGATATTTCTCATTAAAATATGTCATTACATTATAGCCAACTAAAAATTTAAACATTATTTATTCATATACAAATCATACAACTGCCGTTGATTTTGAATTGACAAGAGCCGTTTGTCCCTTTTTTTTTATTTTGTATTATAGTATAATTACATTATTATGGTCGTCTTAATTTTAAACCTTGATAATATTAAGAATATGTGGATATCATCCTAAAATACACTACTAGATAGCGTTGTAATACTGTCTGAAATATAATATAATATTCAATTTAACAATACATTCCTCGCTCCGCTCAGAATCTAACTTTGAGAAGAATAGATATCTTCTTATCTTGAAAAATTATAATTATTCAAATATTGTTGGTAATCTGCTGTCGAAATTTAGTTGAAATCATGATTTTAATTCGTAAAGACAATCATGGGCGTAGGTAGGAAATATTTTTGGAGGGGCTTTTGTCTAAATCTATATTAATATGATACAATTAAGAATCATTTATTTGTATGTATTAAATAATATAATAATAATTATAATAATTTATAATATAAATACAATATTTTGTCCATATAATTTACAAATTTAAAAGTATAAAAAAAAATTATAAGATAAAACTTTGTTTTCTTGGTTAGGTTAGATTGTTTTATTTAATTTCGGGGGGTGTTTGAACACCCAAAACCCCGCCATACCTACGCCCATGAAGACAATGACAGAAACCTAACCTAACCGTTCATAGTTGAATCTTGAATGGTTGATATGTATAGTTTAATTTTTAATAGTTTAATAATGAGTCAAAATCATGCAATATTATTGCGATGACGGTGGCAGCGTATGGATATTATAATATACTATTATAAAAATTACTAGGAACATTATTGAAAATCTTTATATTATGTAAATTGGATTTTCAAAATTCTCATTTATGGTTTATTGTTAAAATGTGGCTCGATAATTTTATAAATTTTCAACAGTTGAAATTCAACTAGAAAATAATTTGTAAATTTTCACGATTTTAACATATAATGATTGCTTATAAAAACCACGTATTAAATGTTCAAGGTTTTTAATCCAATAATTTTTTTTAACAATATTTATAGAAAAAAATATTTTGAATTTCAAATTTTTAATAGTATACGTAGCTTAAAAAAAGTTCAATATTAAACATAATTAGGAATACATGCTGTAGAAAATTATAAAATAAATATTTGGTAAAAATTTCAAGCATCTACAGTTTGTCGTTTTAAATTCTGATCAGAGCGATTATGATGATGCGTGTCTGTGTGTCGGTGTACACAGTAAGTAGTGGAAATAATGCTTTGATTTTTAAGTTCAGTATTTTTTCCGGTGGAAAAGTGAATCTAGTTGATGCATTTGGGAGGTAAAAATTTAAAATTCTCAGTAGCTTTCAAAAGCGAATGGAAAAACAAAATTAAAGAAAAATAGAAATTTTCTTATGTAAAATCGATTTTCGACATTATCTGTACACGATAAGTTGTCGAGATAATACTTAAATTTTCAACTTCAATAGCTTTTCTGGTTGTAAGTGAATCTATAGTTTGTGCGCTGAGAAAAAACAAAAAAAATTATTAAGGAAAAACTGGAATTTTTACGCAAATTCAATTTAAAAAAAAATCGATTTTAGATATTGATTTAAATTTAAAATAAATTACCATATACACATGCAATTTTCACTGAATTTTTATACTGACGTTTTATATATAGATTCTTGATACATTTTCAATTTTTTTGTTTTTTTTTTCTCTAAATTTCAGTAAAATTATTTTATTTTATTTTAATTTAATACGGGCCGCAGCCCAAAGTACAGAAAATAAATTTACATATTATAAGTGAATAGTAGACATAACAATTAAAATAGAAAAAGAAATGAGACAAAAGAAAAGAATTACAAAACTAAACTTAAAAACTAAAAGATGGATCCTCGTTAGCAATACGCATCATTCTATTTAGTGGTTTGTTTCGTGAATAATTTGTCGTACACAGCGGAATACTGAAAGGATAGGAAGAACGGACCTGGGCACAGGGAATTTTAAAGCTTACTTTGGATAGAAGTTCAGGACAGTCGATCGACCCATTTATGATTTTGACTAGGAAGACCTTGTTAATGGTGATACGTCTATCGGCCAAAGACTGTAAGCCTAGCATATCTATTACTGCATCATAATCATGAGGTCTATGTTCAATATTTAATAGATATGCTGCAAAACTCAAAAACTTCCGTTSGACTCTTTCWAGTTGATTYATATTGCTTGTGTTGTGAGGGTTCCATATAATTACAGAAAATTCAAGAATAGATCTGATGAGCGCACAATATAAGGCTTTTAGTGGAGTTATCAACTTAAATTCGTTACAAACCCGCTTAAGAAATCCAAGAGCTTTTAAAGCTTTACAGCATGTCGCATCTACATATATATGGTTATGAAAATTTAAGTTACTATCATAGAAAACTCCGAGGTCTTTCACAGTATTCGATTCAATRACWAGATAGGTTYCACGAAGTGAATATTTAAAATCCAAGTGAGTCCGACCTTTATAAAAAGCTTTTGAGCAATATTTGGAGACATTAAAATCCAAACCAATATTTACAGCCCAGGCGTCCAGTGCCCACAAGTYATTTTGAAGTAATTGACAGTCATGTACTGAGCAAATTTCTAGAAATAGCTTTAAGTCATCTGCAAATAGTAAGAATTTACTGTGGCGAATAACTTTCTTTATGTCATTAATAAACAATATAAAAAGTAATGGGGAAAGATGGCCACCTTGAGGTACCCCTGACGGCGTGTTTAATACCTATGATTTGATACCAAATACTTTTACGAATTGCTTGCGATCGGATAGATAAGAGCTGAACCATGATAACAAAGGCTCCCCAAAACCACTACTGGCAAGGACTTTCATAAGAACAGCATGGTTAACCCTATCAAAGGCTTTACTGAAGTCGGTGTAAATGACGTCAACCTGATTCTTTTTTGCAAAGGCATCAAACACTTAATCAGTGAACACTAGATTGTATGTGTTAACTGACCGATTAGGGCAACATGACCCATGTTGCTCATCTATTATGATTTGATTTACCGCAGATTGGATAGAATTTAAGACAAAGGATTCAAACAGTTTACCTATATTTACTGATGATAGTTATTGGCCTATAGTTAGCTACATTAGAAATATCACCAGATTTAAATATCGGCGTTATGGAACTAAGTTTGAGTATATTAGGGTAGGATCCTGATCGAGAATAAGAAATCACCTGAGGTACTATCCGGGCCAATAGAATTATTTCCTTTCAGGCGTGATAAACCTTTTTCAACATCTGATATATCAAAGAAACAGTTGCTCGGAAGATCATTAATAAGGGATTGGGATAACTCATTTTTATATAGGTATAACGAAAATATTAAAAATAAATTGTTACAATTTTTTTCTATAAGCATTTAAAGTTTGGAATTTGGCAAAATATGTACGTAAAAACCTTGAAAATACCGAAAAGTCAAATTAAATTTTTATGAGTATTTGAATTTCAATTGAAACTTAAGTTTTTACTACATTGGATATTCACTCAATTTCTTTTGTACTAATATTCTTATTTTATTGTTATTCAAAAACGGATAACTGTATAAACTTGAAATTTATACCATATGTTTATTTTGTGAATTTTTAAAATATTTTAACTATTTTTTAATTATTTGAATCATTTGAAATTATCTGTTTTTTTTTTTAGTTTTATATTCTATAAATATAAATAACGTTTTATTAATTGAGTCAAAAAACTTGAAAATTTAATACATTAAGGTTCTCCATAAGTTGATTTAATAGCAGTTGGAAAAAACTAAAAATACGTGGGCACGTTTTTTTACAACATTTATTTAATTGAAAATTTAGAAATTATTTAGTTGTTAAAAATTTATAAAATGTTTAATCTTTATAGCTAAGGATTGAAAATTTAAAACAAGGTTCCACTTCAGTATTTAATTCTCTGTCAATATTAATAGTTTTATAGTATACATATTGTTTAAACTATGAATGATTGAGTGAGTCGGATACCGGGATACGTCATAATGAATCTGATTTGATTAATTTGGAATTTATTTTACAGGTATCTAATTTTTTTTTCAATAATAACAGAAATTTATATTTAATATATTTTTTGTCTTTATTAGTTAAGCATTAACTACATTGGCTATTAACTTTAACAAAGTTCTTAAATTTTTACGTTATATTTTTTTATTGTACAATTAAATTTTTTTTAGATTTTCAATCGTTTTTGTGTGGTCAATTTTAAGTCGATTGAAAATTACCTCATTTTTTCTATTTAGAGTAATRTATTTCGGGCTGGTTGAATAGAATGCTTAATTTCTTTTAATTTATTTTCCGTGGTCGTATGCCATTTTTTGTTCTACAAATCAATGCCGTATATTTTGTTTATATTTCTTTTTATATCTACAAGTGAAGAGCTGTCAGAACTATTAAATGCATTTCTAGCTACTTTATTTGTCTTTTCGTTTCCATTTATGTTCCAATGCCTTGGGGTCCAAATAAATCTAATGTTTTTGTTTGATTTGGAAAGAAGGTTACTAATTTTTAGAGCTTCTGTAATTATTTTGGATTGCAGACTGGGTGATTCGGGGTATATATCTATTTTTGATTATTGATCACTAGAACTAATTGGGCTCCTTTAATATATTTAATGCAGCGGTTCCCAACCTTTTTGAGACTATTACTCATAAGTCAGGTTAGATATTTACAAATACCCCCCGACACAAAAAAAAGTATTGAGTAAAAAAAAAATCAAAAACAGAATCACAGTAGTAGCACCCTCTTTAAACAAAAAAAAAAAAAAAATATATATATAAATATATACACATGTGTAAATGGATAATAAGTACTTAAAATACAAATAAATAGTTTAACTTTTACCCTCCAAAAATTGTGTTTTTACCCCCAGGTTGGGAACCGCTGATTTAATGTTATATTTTAGTATAACTTGGTAACCAATCATTTACATTTAACAAAATGTAAAGTTTCCTTGATTTTTTGGATAGGTATAGGTCGCAGTATAGTTCATCAATAATTGCATTGACATGCAACTGAATTTGTACATTGATATACATCTCATCTAATCTATCAAGTAGCCTAAAATAAAACAAATAAAATAAATTACTTGTAAAATAATTTAATGGAATCAAAATTTAAAATCCGATTACATACCCTGACATAGGTACTATTCCATAATAAGTACATTTAATCCGCTTTAACTCGAAAATGTACGTTCTGGTGTAGAGATGCGTCTGTCAATACAGAAAGTGCACACATAAAAAAAAAAAAATACATTTATATTAAGTTTTAAATCTTTGTTACAGAGCATATAAAAGCATCCATTACTGTCTTAAAATTCAGTTATTTGGACATTTTCCACCTTATTTCCAACAGTGTATATCAAATTTCTGTCAATGTTTATGAGTAAAACTGATAGTAACTTCATGCTAATTAGTACACTTTATTTATTCAAATTTAGATTTTTAGAATTTTTAGTTAATCATATTTTTAAATTTCGGATAATTTTTTTAACCTAAGTAGTGCCATGTGGCGATACAAACTTCTGTTTTCCAAATGACAACCCCCTTTTTTACTGAAAATTATTTAGTAATCATTATTTTAAAAATTTTTTATGCATCTAAATCAAAATTTTAATGATTAGTTTCTGAGCTATTAAAATGTTTACACAAAGGATAATAATTCTTAAAATTGTTTTAGTAAAATATAAAATATATCAATATAATACATAATATTGAGAATAAGAAATTTCATAAATTTACATATTTTTTCTGCTCAACTTAATCTTATGCTTATTAATTGCACAATACATTTTAGTAAGATTCCTAGTTATACCACTGTTTTATTTGTAAGAAATGTATTATGTATGTTTATAATAATAAATATTAATTTAATTGATTCGATCTCTTGGTTACAAATGGTAATGGTATTACAATAATAATAATAATTTATTTAATGACTGCTCAAAGGCAAATAGTATAGGTAGTGAAAACAGAATATTAAAATAATAGCCAAGATAAATTAAATATAATACAATTATTTTAACAAGATTTATTCGGAATGATTAATGTCACGGTAAAAGAAATCAGTCTTTTATATTTATACAATTCACATAGGAAACCATGCATTATTTRTTAATCAGCCCAAAATAGCTGAAATTTTGACGGTGGTGATTAATGATTAATAAAGAAAATAACTTATTGTTTATCGTGTGGACTTCACATTAAAATATATACCTCATAATAATTCAAAACAATCTATTTTATTGATAAAGGTCTCCACACAATGCAGCGGTGGCGATTACCGCAGGACGTGGTAACGGCAAAATTAAGCTGGTTACAATTTACCGCCAAGTCAAAAGAATTTTACCGCTACCTGAGGTTAGGTTTTTAAACATTCATAAAAACATACCTATAAATATTGATGAAGTAATTAATATATTTTCAAGATCATCTAGAAGAATAAAAACGGAGGATTGGTCAATTTAATTTGTTATATTTATTAAAGTTTGTTAYTAATAATTATTAAATAATCTCTTATAATAAGCGTATATAATGAATAAAAAAACTTAAACTATATGCCCATGCTTTTATATACTTTAAGTACATTTTTTTGTTAAGCCCCCCCTTTTTTTCATTTCTAGATCCGCGCCTGGCTACCTCTGCAGTATGTGGGGACCTTAAAACAATTATGAAAATATTTTCATCTCAATTATAAGAGGTCAATACCTATAGTTTTAAATTAAATGAAGAATAAGAGCAAACGAGTTATTAAAATTAAATAAAGCCTACGAAAATAATGATTTAAGTCCGTGGACACAAAATGAGGTTTAAACAAAGTTCTGTTTAAAATTTTTTCCATAAAGTATGCGATGATTTATTGCTTTCAATATTCAAATTGTATATCATAGTACTCTATATCTATTAATCTGTACTTGGATGATTAAAATATTATGAAGAGTTTTCGACACTTCAACACCTGTGTCGTATTTAGGAATTTAGTGGTAACAGCCGACAGGGGTCCAYATCATTTTCATAACACACTACCATGACCCTCTACCTTACTTCTACCACCATTAACGTACTTATAAGAATTTAATTTAATACGTGTATAAAAAATAAACATCGTTTTGAAGTTCATAATTATTTATTTTTGATAATTTACAAAGATTTTGAAATAATTATATTAAATTTGGAATATTTGAAATTTGAATATTCATTAATGAAAATGAACAAAGTTTATAACTTTTATCGTGGGTGTAATGTATAATAGCTATGGATGTCTATATATATTTATTATATATATTATTTTATTAATCTCTTAAATATACAAAACGTTGCTTTTTATAATAATATTACTTTAATCCAACAAATGGCAATGTGAGCATGCATAATATCTGTATTTTGACAGGCTTTTTAAAATTGTCTTTGAATAGTACTGTAGACACTTGTATTGTATTCAAGGTTTTATACATTATACGTATTCGATAAGTCTTAAAAATAATTACTCGTAAATTCTTTTTATGAGCACTCAACACTTTGATGACGCTTTATAAACATCATACAATCAATATTCAGTACAGGTTTTCGAATTCGAATGCAATGATTTAAAAATGATTAATAACTATTAATACCCCTATTTCTATAACATGAAGGCAATATTCACTAAGCTAGGTTGAACTTGTGCCAAGCGTTTTTTATTTTTAAAATCAATAAATTATTCTTATAGGAAAATCCACGCGTAAACCGCGTGTAAACAAAAACAGGGTAGACTATAACATAATTACTTATTTACTTATATATAATATATTAATTAGCAGTCAATACTCTATACATATTTTAGAATTCAGTTTGCAGAATATATGACACTTAACTATTGGATCATAAATTCCTGGGATTTACAATTTGTTAACGATATTTTTTACTTACTATTCACGTAAATGGGCAAAAATGCACAATATGTACAGAATAGTATTTCAGTTAAATCTATTGGTATATTTTATACCAACTTATATTAGAACTCAACTCATGCTAAGGAACTTTGAAAGCGGTCCATCATATTTTCGAGCAAGGGGTAAAAAAAATTTAAGACACTTAACAACCGGATACAGTATATACATAACAACAAATACAAACTACATACATACTTACTTAGTACTTAAATAATATAATACTTAAATTTTTTGTTATGCAACGAATAGATATAGGTATATTGAAATTAATTTGAAATCGATTTTACTTAGTATCGTGGTGTGTCAATTTTACAAATATTCCATGTATATTTGGGAAAATGTTGTACCTATACTTGTTAAAAGCGGCAAATGTGTATTTACGCAACTGCTTAGCATTTTAATATAGAACTTATCATATTGCCCCTTTGTGAAAGTTCTGTCTTATACTGTAGATTTTTGGTTGTTTATTGAAAAAAAAAACAATATTGAAACGTATATAAATAACGTCGGAGTATGATCGACGGCGAATCAGGGCACCAGAAGTAATTGATCAGATGGTCGAGATACTTGTTAGTCGACTCGCCGTATCACTCGGCACTCGGCAGTAATCATTCCGAAACACAATAACAACAATATTTTTAATAGCAATAATGAAAATAATAACACAACAATAACAAAAAACAAAATAATTTGGACCGTTACGCGGGACCAGTCCGCTCGATGTCGCTGCGTTGCCGCCGTTTCCCCCCCGTAGACCGCATTCCGCGTGCACATCGTACGTGCGCGTACCGCTTCGCCACCGTCACCGCCGCCGCATGGCCAAACGTCTGCCAGACCGCCACCGCGCCGCCGCCGCAATTCTCTGCCACCACTACGACCGCGCGCCATCACCACCACTGCCGCTGCCCGATCAGCGCGTACTCGACGAGTACCGACGTTGACTACCAGCACAGCAGTGCATTGTTCGCGTCCGTCGGCCGTGGTACCGCGTCACCCGGTGTGCCGCGCGCGCAATTCTGATCATGTCAAAATCATAATAAATACAATAATTCAATCGAATAATTTCATAATATTATTGTGACATATATAAGTGCTATACTATTTGACACACGTGTGGCACGAAACGCGGCGGCTATGGTATAGAGTGTGTGATCTTTCGTGCCGTCCGTCGCGCGCGCTAGTTCGTATCCTCGTGCACAGTGTTCGGTGCGCGCGCGCGCCCGCGTATATAATATGTATAGCGTACGGTAATAAGTCGCCGCGCGCGGGTCTAGAGATTGCCGTCGGAGTCGGAGTCGTCGTTCTTTTCCTCGGCGTTCGTTTAATATTTCGTTGGTTTTCGAGTGCGTCGCGCGAACGGGGCGCCGGCCACCCCGCCGCCGCCGGTGGCCAATCAATGCGTGCCGCTGGTGCCGCCGCCGCTGCCGTCGTCGCCTCCTGTCGACGGCCGCAACACAAGGTACCCATTATAATAAAGTATGGTATAATACGGTTGCAGTATTTTGGTAAAATATTAAATTTGTTGGGACGGCGTCGTTGTTATTGTTATTGACGCTGGATCGAACTGCAGTTCGACGATATTGTGGCATTATAGCATTATTATTGAGGGACTTTGCGATCGGAAGATCTCGGGGCCGGTGGTAGTGGTGGTTGTGGCGTCGGTAGGTAGGTGGTAGCTGTCGTTTGTCGGATGCCGCGAAACCGGACGTGCCGCAGCTGCCTGACGCCGCTGACGGTAGCAGCCACTGCTGATGCATTCGCCGTGGTAGTGTAACTCAAGCGTTCGCGGATGTCTCGCGTGCATCATAGCCGTCATAGTCGTCGTCGTTGTCGCCGCCGATGCCGTCCCCTCCATTTCCATTCAATAAACACGCGTGCCTCCGGGAATCGGGGTCAACTCGCTGCCGCGCGCTCAGAACGTAATATTATATTATAATATTATTGTAGATGTGTAATAGCCAATAGGTAGCAGGCCTACGAACGAATAATAAAAAACTACCGTAAAAATCTACGCTGAGGTTCCACCGCCACCAGCGATGCCATATAATAAAAGCGCTGTTTCGACTGTGCGGGGGTATTAATTACGATGTAACATAGCTCCGCGCGAGGGCCTACCTATGATGCTAGGTGGCCTCTACTCAGTACTTACACCCCATTCCGTGCTCCGCGTGTCACGATCGACGAAGAAATTTCGGGACAATAATCGTGGCGAATAACGACGACGCTGTGAATGTGGGTAGCGCGTGTGCTTGTGGGCAGGGTACACCCATCCGGTCCAACAGCCGACCTTGGATTGTATATTGGTTCTCGCGCCGTTATTTAACTCGAAAAATAATATTGGATAACGGCTAAACGACTTTGCCTCGGTGGTACGCGCAGAAGACTTCAACGTTATCGAATCGTACGATATTTACTGTTCGATTTATTTCCCATCGAGAATGTTTTCTCATGAAAACAATATGTCCATTTTTCTAGTGTGGATTTTATTTACGTCATAATTGTATTTTTTCCTAACCGCTAAGATATTAAATTTTTTTAACATTAAGAGTATTGATCTCGATACCATATATGATGGGTATTGTGTTATAGTTGGTCGAGGGTGGGTTTATCGATTGGATCATATAATATTCCTATGAAGGTTCTTGATAAAAGTCATATTTATATCATTTTTTTAAATATTCTTGACAATAATATTTTTTTCAATAATTTTATGAATTAATTTCTGTTTCAGATTTGAAAATAAGAATGTAATGGTGTAATACATTCGTGTATTACAAGGCATTCAGTATGTCATCTAGAAAAAGCACAGAAACATATACCGGTGGGGAGAGTCAAAAACCATCTTCAGCTTTATCTAAAACAAAACAAAAAAAAGCATCTATCGCAAGTGACTCTCCATCTGGACCGATCAATTTGACAAAAAAGTCTGTTAAGAAACCCATTCCACTTCAAAAAACTCTMAAAATTGCACTAAAAAATATCAAAACAGCAAAAGTCATTAAAAAAAATGAAAAAGAAACTGAAGGCTTGGACGAGAAAAAAGATTTGGTGAAAAAATCTACTAAACCAAAGCTAAAAGAGAAATCAATTGCAAAAACCGTAAAAAAGCCGGCTGTTAAAAAAGGAAAAAATGCTAGTTCTGCAGGAAACAGTGAAAAATGTCACAAGTGGCTAAAAACTAAAAAACCCGTGAAAAAGTCTGAAGATAAAGAAGAAAAGAAACCTAAAGACAAAGTTCAGAAAGATAAAAAGGTTAAAGATGTGAAAAAGAAACCTATTCCAAAACCGGCAAAAAAAACTGTAGAGGAAGTTGATTCTATGAAATCACGTGTTGAGATTAAGTCAGATAAAAAAGATAAACCTAGAAAAGCTAAAGCAATTCCTAAAAATAAGGTAAAAATAAGCTCAGTTAAGAAGATTGACGAAAATCCAACCATAGAATGTATGGACGTAGTAAAAGACGAAAATCCGGATGATGTTGCTTTACTACAAGTTTTTCAATTAAAAAATGGTCCAGTTTGTGATTTTGATGGAAATGTCTGTAACACTATAACAATTAGACAAGATAATACTTGTATAAAAATTAAGGAAATATCAGTTAGCCAATTGCCCTACCCCGTAAAAACGGAAGAAAATGAAAGTATGGACATAGAGAAAGAACCAGTAAAAAAAGAATCTAAGAATAACTCTGAAAATCAAAATACCGAAAAACAAAATACCGATCAACTTAAAACTGAAAAACTGAAAACTGAAAAACCAAAAAACGAAAAACAGAAATCTGAAAAAGAAAAAAAAGAAAAACAGAAAATTGAAAAATCTCCAACAAAACTGGTCAAAGTTGAGAAGAAAAAGAAACCATTGGTAGTAGATAAAATCAAATCAAAAGGAAAAATAAAAGTGGTTGCACCAAAAACTAAAGTTAAAGGCAGACCTGTGGCCAAGAGACCTAGAGTAGCATCTCTCAACGCCATAGCTAAAGTGCATTGTTTGTACGAGAATGAAAGTAAAAGTGCATTGATTGATGCTATGGCAGCCTCTGCAGCTGCTACAATAAATGCGGCTTCTAAAAAGAGTAAGAAAAAATCAGATGTAGAAATTCCCGCCAGAAAAGGAAAAAGAACGTCAAAAAGGACAACTCCAGGTTTAAAAAGTGTTGGAAGGCATTGGGATATGCATGATACAAGTTCCACTAACAGTTCTTCATCAGGTAATATTTACTAAAGATAATATTATGAATAAACTTATAGTTAACTTAGAAATAAACTAATCGCATTTTTAGTTAGTTTGGTTTTTAAGATTTTGAAATTATGAACACTAGGAAAGGCCTAAAGGGTTAAAATGTTAAATGATAAACTATCAAAAAATTATAATCACTGGTTAGGTTATGACCGCGGTATTATAAACCTGACATATTATGTTTTATTAGTATTTTACATTTTTACTTTATTTGTATTAAAAATAAGTCTCTTTTTATTCATATAAATAAATAAATAGGTTAGGTACTTATAAAAATAAAAATAAAAATTTAATAACAATAATAATTAGTTTAGTCGATGAGAAATTAAAAAGATTTTTTCACCCTTGGAAATACCAGCCGGGTTTCATTTTATTATTTGATTACTCGAATTAATAAGACTGAATTAATTAATAATTAGATTATTTTAAATTAAGTAGTTTATTGCTGTTTACTGTTAATTTATGCAACTTGATTACAAGAATTAACGTTTTAGATTTTGAGCAGTTTCTTGTAGAAAGTTGATTTAAATAGTATAGTTTTGGGGATTGGAAGTAAAAATTTTCAAGTAGCACTGATTCTTAATAATTAATCGGGAATACTAAAAAATCACGGTAAAACGGGACATTAACGCAAACTAGTTTCAAAAAATCTATTTCGTTTGTCGTGGTTTAAAAATGAATTGTAAATGATGGGAAATGATTATTGTAGCTTATAAGGATTTGAAATTTTCAAAATATTTTTGGTTCTTATTGAGCTATTTGGCATTGAATGCCTTTAATGTATATACTTATTTCATTTTGATATACCATGGTCTTTTCCTTAATACTTATCACCTTTAAGAAATACTAACCTCATATCTGTATGTCATAAATAAGTTTTGAAATCTAGTTAAATTTTGGATGCCTCCTGAAAGTTATCATATTACTCTTGAATTCGATGAGAAAAAAAATGTAAAGATGGATTTGATACTTTTTCCATCGGGTTTTTCAACAAATTTATCAAAATCGTACATAAATTWAAAAAATACCTTTCAAAAGAATTGATTTTGTTTCTGAAAAATATGTTTTTATCTACCCATAAATTGTATCAATTCTTTCGGTCGAAAAGTTTTTCACAAAAATATAATAAATCAATATCATCGTAATATAATAAGCTCCTTTTCTCTTTTCAAAATCTAAAAATGTTTTCCTTAAAGTTATAATAGTTAGATTACATATTTATATTTATATGGTATGTAAAGTAGATTAATTATAAATATATTATAAATCATTATAGTGTGATATATTCGATGTATTTTTACAGGTTTAGATGATGCAAAATATGAACCGCCGAAATCAGCTAAGCGCACGAAAAAGCAGCCAAAAGTTTCAGAACCTGAAAGTACAGATGAAGAAGAAGAACCTGAAAGGTCTTCTAAAGAAATCACTTCCCCAACAAGTGGTTCCAAGCGAAAAAGACGTAACGCGGATACTGTTACTATGGACCTTAAAGATATGGTTGTAAAAAAACGCATGGCAAGTCTAAACGCATCAGCTATATTAGCAGCAAGCTATTCGACAGAGAAAAAGTCACCTTCAAAAGGTCAAGATTGTTCAAAGAAATCTACCACTAGTTCTGAAACATCTTCTGAAAGATCCGAGCCAGAAGATGACGCGGAAGATGAAGATTCTGACGGGCATAGAGCGTCCACGGTCCGTACAGCTCTTCAGCCAACGCCTTTACCACCCATTGTACCTCCACCAACGTCACAAATTGCTGTAATCGTTAATCAGGATACAGATGTTACAATCACTACTGGTGTTTACGTCAATAGTACTACTCGATCTACAAGACATGAGGAATTTTGTACCATATCTGGGCTTCAATACCGTATATCAAGTACTAGTCATACGCAAACCGAAGCAACAGCTGTGGCCACGGAAACTTTACTTCATGCTGATCACGTGAGTGATACATATTATTATTTTGAGATTTTATATGAAAAATTACGTAAAAATGCTATTAGTACTTTATAATTTTTATGAACTTTTTTTTGAAACATGAATACAGTTTACATAATTAGTTAAAAATTATTACTAATTGCTAAGACTTGGAGTATTAACATAATGGTTCTAGAATTTTAAACAATGATAAGGGAAATTTTTAATATATGTGTTTCAATAAAATGTATAGAGCTCATTGGGATTTTATTTATGGTTTGTGTATCAGTATATGTGTATATAATATTTGTGTGATAAATTTCACTCATTTTTGTTTGTGGCGTTTAAAAACAATGATAAAATACTTTAAGGAGACAAAGAAAATAATTCTTTTTTTTTGCTTTATGTTTTTGTTTGTCTATTTCCTCGTCCACCCACTTGTTTCGTTACACACATTCACTATTTGCCAAACGACAACATCCGGCTGTATAATATTGTCCCATTGTTTTCATTAGCTTTCCCTCGCAGAGCTTTTTATTTTTTCACTTTTTACGAAGCGATTCAAAAATAAAACAACATTTTTCTATCAATCAACAGTAGGTACAATCGTCCGTGTAGAATTCCGTGGCAGGTATTGTATAATAATATAATGTAATTTTTGTTAAAAGAAAACTTATCTTAAATAACGAATGATCAATTTGCTTTCTTTACATATTGAAGTTGTTATAAAATTTAAATTAAATCTGATTCACGTTTGAATAACTCAAATCTCGGTTTATTAAAACTATTTGTGAAATAATTGAAGTGATAATAATGGGTAATTCAAATGATATACAAAAAATAAATAAATATTGAGATATTTTTATTTTTATAAAATGTTCAAGCTTTTTGTTTTCAAATATGTCAGTTGATTTTTATTATCTGTAAGGTTATTAGTAATATTGTATTATCATTATTGTTTAAGTAGTACGTTTGCTTGTTATTAATTAAAAACTCTTGCTTCCAAGTTCATTATGTGTTCTAATAGTATATTCTGCGTAATCACGGCTTGTAACTACAACTTTCAAGAGTTGAAATTAATCGTTTTTATACTCAACAAATAATATTGTAAATTATAATTGATCTAAAATTAAATTTAAAATATTAGCTCGATTTCTAAAAAACAATTGCCATCCCTCTTATTAAATTATAAATTTTTTGCTTGATTTACATTATTAATTTCGTATGTTATACTGACAAAAGAAATAAGTTAAACATTTATTTCTAACCATTTGTAACGTATTATAATTATTATGTACTTGAGTATTTATTTACTGATGCCTAGGTATGCGAGGGGCCGAGGGATGCCCACTATGCATTTATATTTTAAGTGTTATTTTATTTGATTATAATTGCGTTTCAAAATAGGATTCTATTATTATTATAGTAACTAGTTGGATTTTAATAAAAATAATTTTAAACTGTATATAATTTTTCATCAAATATTTATAAAATTGTATATTTTGAATGACATTAATTAAAAATGAACTAAAATAAATAAATATATGGAAATCAAAATGATTTAACAAGAATAATGTATCCTTTTTATTTAGAATTTGAAATGACTTAATAACATGAATATTGTGGTTTTTAATATATTTATGATAATGCAAGTTATTTTGCTCGGTGAAGGATTAAATCAAAATTAATTACAGGAGATTTTTTTTATAAAAACAATTCTAATTTTTATTTTATTTTGATTATTAGTAGAATTTTATAAGATATCTACTAGAATTCATTTCTTATTACGTTTAAATTAAACCTAATCTAACCTATTACCTAACCTTTAATCATATAAATTTATTTTATATTTGGAATCAAATACCTGACCTTCTGATTTTCGTGTAATGTGTTTTCATCTTTAGTTATTATTAGGTTAATTTTTCTAGGGAATTCAGTAGGTAATAATCATAATATTTTTTAATAATGAATCATCAAAAAATAATGCCGAGTTACATTTGATATTTGTAAATTTTTTTGAAATATTGGTTTAGACGTTACAATATGGTATTTTTTTCTAAGTCAGTACATATGTATTTATGGACGGTTAAAGGCGCCCTTTTGGCGCACCTAGGTTTTGTTTGTTAAAAACCACCTGCGGCGGGATAGCAAAGTCGAAATCGGTTCGCATTGGTTAAGCACTGTTATAAATTATCCCTTTTAGTAAAGAAGAAGAGGAAAACATAAAAAGGGTAAATTCTGTTTACAAACTAATTACTCATATAGTTTATTAAATATACAAAAGCTCCCCGAACATGATGTCATTTTGTAGACGATATAGCTGTTTTTTCCTATTATATGTATATATATATATATTATTGTTAGAAATCGTTTGAGAATTTATGTTTTCAGGATATTTTCCAATAATAACATTTTTTTTATTTTTATTATATTATGCAGTAATTAAAGGTTTTATTATACTATTATGTAGAATAATATATGATATAAGTGTTCTGTATTATTTTTCAATTAAATACATTAAATTTCTAATAATTAGAAATAAACAAGAACAATAACTTCATGGTGAAATTATCTTTGACTAACGTTTTACTAATTGAAATGTTCAAACTTTGTGTGTTGTGACTTCTTGTGGGTATATTGTCTCATGAGTTTATCTTTAAGTTTATAGTTTCTATAAGACATTATGGATGGAATAGTTAACATAAACTCGGTAAACTTTGTTTGTGTATAAAAAGAAAGTTTTAAGTAAAACTTCGTTTTTGGAGTGTTAAAAAATTAAAAACATTTATATTATATCCTTTACCTAATGTATAAATGTCTACAAATAATATGTACAATACCTACTAATASCGCGATTGCTTTTTAATGCAAGTATTTACCTAATCGCTACGTGATAGTCCAAAAAGTCCATAACTATACTATACTATGGGTATATAATATAATAAATAATAAATACGTTATAATTATTATTTGTTGTACCTACATATTATTATTATTTCTAATTTTGATATTGGAAAATTAGCTTTTTAAAGCACTTAATAGTTCATAGTCATAGCAAAGTTTTTAATTTGGAGTTAACATTCCATAATTGTCGAAGAGTTTTCCTTGTTATTTTTGTAATTAAATCATATTAAATGGTATTTATATTTTGTCATTTATAGATTCATTATTTTACCAAGTTCATTAAAAAACATTGCAGATTTTTTAATTCTAAAATATGATTTAGAGTTGGTCAATAATGAATAATTTAAAGAATTTTTATTCAATTTTTAAATTTTAAAATCAAATTATATTTCAAATTATAATTCTATCACAATTTTTTTATTGTTAATAGTATTTTGGTTTTATTAAACATATAAAGTATGTTTGTGAACTCAATTTTTAAATTTTAAAATCAAATCTAAATCAATAATTTAAAAATATTTGTTAGTATCTAACAAATAATTACTGAAATAAAAACTAAAATATAAGTTGTACACAGATGTATTTTATATGATAAACGTAGAACTATCTTTGTACACGTTTAAAGGGTTAAATAATTAAGCTTTTTAATCATTACTGTTATAAATAATTTGTTTATAGTTTCATATTTTAAGTTTATTTTGGTATACAATAATTATTATTCTAACTATCTCTTCGAAAGCTTTATGATTTACTCCAATATCTCATTCATAATGTATCCTGAAGCTTTATAATAATTTTTGCTTCTGGATGTATTGAAACAATTTAATAATTTAATGATGTTATATTTCTAGAAAAAAAGTTGGTATACCTATTTAGTATGAGTTTTATGTAGTTTTACTTTTTTTTTTT